TTCTTTTCAGCTACCACATGTGTGACCATGTGTTACAGCAGCCATAGAAAAGGATACGGGGGTGATGTCACCATCTACCTGCTCTTCCAAACCCTGTCTTTATTGCAGCCTCCACCTCTCCTTACCATCCTTCTTGATTTACATCTTCCTCCAATCTTGTTTCTTGAATGCTTCACTGCCTCTGATCAGCTATAAAATAAATGTCAAAGTCCTGTTGTGATATAGAAAGCCTTCCAAATCTCTCTTCTGCCTCCAGCCTGGGCTACATGTTCCCCATCTTGTCAATCTTGACTCCATGCCCTCTTTCTATCCTGGGTTACATGGTTCCTTCCCTCCAGCGTGTGCTACGTGACCCTATCCCTCTATCTCTGGTTACATCCTATCCTTTCCAGCAGAGGATGTGACCCTGCCCCTACCACCCCACCACCTTGTTATAACCACTTGCTGTTCTTTGAGCACACTGTGTTCGCATGGCCCTTGCCCTGATGCCTTTGATTGCTTTCCCCTCCTCCTTTCACCTGGGCACTTCCTACTTATCCTCAAACTCATTTCACTTGTCCCCTCCTCCAGAAAGTTCTCCCTGATGTTCTTCCACCCATCTCACCAGTTGGTTTAGTTTATCTCTAACATAACTAGAAATAGCAACTCCATAGTCCCCCCACCACTACTACAACTCTGTCTTTATTTGCCTGGATACACCAAGCTAGGATTCTGCTTTTCATGTAGTTCTCAAGTGTCCAACATAGTGCCTGATACTGAATTGACTAGTGTTTGTTAAAAGTTTTAGGAAAAAAGGTAGGACTTCATTTACTCATTCACACAACAAATACAGATTGGGCATTTGTGACCCATAAAACACTGAGGAACACACAAATGTGTGTAGGACTCGGTATCTGTCACTGAGAACTTTTGAGTTCAGAGCACTGACATGTCATTACATATGGTCTATGTGGGAGCACCTAAATTTGTACCTGGGGGAAAAATGGGATGGATTTGGAGAAGTGGGGTTTTCCTAGGACCTGGTCCCGGGAGTACAAAGGAGACTGGGAACCCCAAAGCAAATGCCCTGATTGATGGGATGTGGGATCATCAACAAAACCCAATGAAGTGATCATGACATGAACACACCCTTTATTCAGGAAAGCACACAGATGCTGCTGTTATGAGTTTCCAAGGAGGCATCACATTCCCAAAGTGTACTGAGTGTGACAGAAGGCTAGGACCCTGCAGGCTGACAGGAGGCAGGAGAAAACAGCAAATTCTACTAAATGAATCACAGTGGCTAAGGAAGGATATTTCATCATTAGGCATTCAGCTCCTAATAATTTTGTGTAATCCAAATCCCGAAGCTGATTGTTATCATGACTAACGTAGGAAACGTGCTATTTCTTTTCAAGGTCAACTTTGTTCAGGGACAAATGAGGAACAGTTCTCTTCCTTGACCCTTTCTTATATAACAGAAGCCAAAGCAGATTTATGCAAATGAAAAGAAGGGTGAGTCAGAGCACTTTGTCCCATAAACAACAGAAATGGATTAAGGTTGACTGGCCTCCAGGTAATGTATATACTGCACTATGGTCACATAACCCTGATTTTAGTATATAAAATAGAAGACAAAGAAATTCACTGAAAATTATTCATGACTGCCTCTTCACTGTTTTAATAGATTTAAAAAGCTGCTTCCTTGCCAGGCATCCCATTGTAAACCTTCCCTGATGAATAGTGCAGGCCACATTATTTCTTCTGCCAAGATTCATTGTTTATTATTGGATCTCTCAAAGTAGATTTAGTTTGAAGAGTTTGACATCTACCAAAAATTGTGAAGACATAATGATTAAAAGATTTTCTTTTAAATTTAAATGTATATAAATATATAGATATATGAGAATGAATGATATGGTGATAAATGAATGTATAATACAAAGTAAAATCTAAAAACTAAACAGTACCTATAAACCTAAGTAATAGATACCAGATAAAATAGATAAATGATTATTGGGAACCACCCTGCCTGGTTTCAGAAGCTGTAACCCCCATGGCTAAGGCTGAGTAAAGAGACCTTGGGACTGTAAGCCACTAAGAAGACAAAGCTTATCTTCCTGACAGGGGTGCCACCTCTGCCCCCTTTTATTTCACCCTGCTTGGCCCTAGGAGGATGACTGGTTAGCCAGTGACCAGTAAGATTCTTTAAGGGAGGGACAACCTAAGACAAGTATGGTCAAAAAGGGGCCCTCAGGGAAGGATTTGGGGGCTATAGAAAAAGGGGGTGATGGACCTCACCCCTCAGCTTTGACATAGCCTGAGTCCTCATGCTGTCTGTGAGAAGTCTCCTAAACTCTTGGCTGCCTTACTTCTCCTGTTTGGCTTAAGCCTGAAACAATACAGGAGGACGGTGCAGCCCTGGGCAAGAACAGGCAGTTCCCCAAGGGGATCAAGCCTAAGAAAAAATGCATAAAATCTTGTGAAACCTGCTTTGCTAAGAATGTCCTCAATTTTCTGATATGGGCCCAAGCATGAAATAAGTTTGTTTCCCTTTAGCTAACTGACCCTGACTCAGGATAAGCCCTCATAGTTCTTTAAATGTTATCTATTGTTTGATCATTACTGCCTGAGCATAATGAATGAGGACCTTCCTTGATATAATGCTCCCAGAAAGCAACAAAAGCCTGTCCAGGGTGTTCTCTCACTCAGCGAGTGGCCATGCTGTGCCTTTTCTCCACCAGACTTCTGCAGTCCATGTGAATTTGCTCATTGCATCCACAACACTGCAGACATTGCTGGCTGGAGTTGGCATCAAATGATTGGAGATATTACCCACAAATAAAAAATTTGAGTAAATAAGTTAGATGTCCTTCAAATTACACAGAACATTAATTTGGTATGAAAACAATAACAAAGACAAGTAATTCCAAGTTTTCATTTTTAAATATCTTTAATAAAGTCACAAGCCAAGGAATAATGTTCATCTGAGAAAAATATTAAAATCTTTCATTTTTGTATAATTAGAAAAAAGCAGCAAAAGAACGCATAGTGTGTGTCCTGGATGTTTTGAACATGACCTAACAGTTAAACAATTAGCTTTAAGTGAAATTGCCAAGCTTGATGACACATCTTTCAAAGCCATAAGCACTAGGGCGAGGCCAGCCTCCCTCCAGTGCACCCCACTCCTGGGTTCACACTCTACCCACCGATTTCCAGCTGGTGCGGTACGGTACTCGGCCTCTCTGTGCCTGCATGCTCAATGCTTTTTCTACAAATTGTGGATAATAATAGTGTCATCTCAAAGGACTGTGATGGTTAAATGAGATAATCCAGTAAAGCCTTGGCATAGTGATGGGCACATAAAGACCAGTTATTGTTTATTAGTAAAGTCTGCCTACTTTTTTATCATGCTGATTAAGACTGGTTTTGATGCCCTCATGAAGGAATTTTTTAAAAAACATTAGCACTAATGTCAGAAGATATGAGTTCTGGTCCTGGCTCTACCACTTACCCAATGGGTGGCCTTGGACCAATCTCTCAGTTAACTTCATTGCCTGTAAAATGGGAATAATTTGCTCTCTTCCCTGTCTGCCCCAGGCCAGATGAGGTAACAGGTGGGTTTTGTCATTTGTTTTGCTTCTTTGTTGTAAAGCACTATCACATGAAAAATCTGATGGTGGTAGCCGATGAGGATGGCTTTGGGATTCAAGGCACCATAAAATGGAAAGGACACAGTGTCCAAGCAGGACTAGGCCAGCTCACAGCTAACTACTGCTGTCACCTCACCACCATCAGCTCCACAATGACACTGCTCTCAATAAAGTAAGGAATGAAAGAGACCAAGACAGACAGAAATTAATACACAGACCAAATTAAGTGTTCTTAATCCATTATCATTAGTATTATATTATTGATTATTATCTTACCATTCGTAATCTAAAAGGCCCTAAGAAATCTTTCCTTAAAGAGAATAATGAGAGTTAAACAGTTGGCTAAAACCTAGGTCTCCCGGCATGCAGTACTGCATTCCTTCCTCTAAGGTAGCAAGCTGCATACTTATATACTTATTTTGCAAACAGGGTGTGGAGTTATATAAATAGAAATGTCTGTCTGTATTTATATTATAGGGGGAAAGCCAGAAGAAAACACTTATTGTCTCTCTGCATTTTGTAAATTTCCATACTAAGTGAATGTTAGTTTTAAAATATAAGTGACTGAAAAATTCTAAATTATATGACGTCTATGGCCATCTAAGTAAAAAGAAGTAGTTCTGGCAGTGAGCCCATTTTCAGAGGGTTCTGAATGAGCTTTTCAGAACCGCAGGGATTATGAAGGAAGAACCCAGTCCTGGTACAATGAGACTTAATTATTAGGTGGGGCTTTTTCCTGACTTTGTTTTCTGTCCCTGGGTTTAGCTTTCTTCAGAAATATGGTCCAAAGATAATAGATCATTGATCTGCTCTAGTTTTACAAAGCTCATTTTAATCAAGAGTTTCTAATAAAATAATTATGTCCCTTACTAAGTCAGGCTGTGGTGAGCTTGGGATAAAATGTGCTATAAATACTCTATAGCTGCACTGCTGCAAAGTTATGAGCAATGCAGGAGTTTAGAAATTCAAGTGCATGTCATCAGGGTCTTCCCCTTCACAGAGAAAGCCAATGTGTCCAGTTAAAATCATGCTGAAAATTAATACAGCAGAACTGTTGTATTATGCACCTACTGAATTTTATTTTTAGAATCACTTTTAGGAAAGCTAGCTGATATACTTTATAAAAAAAATAGTGTAAGGCCTCCCCCTCTGTCTTTGACAGAACTGGTTCCAGGTGGTGGGGTGAAGGCATTACACAGCAAAAAAAAAAAAATCAAGCTATGTTAAAGCAGAAAGCTAAATCTTTCCTCCTTAAAACATGAAATTTCCAGATACAGAATTTCAAAACTGACTAAGCTTATATTTGGAACAATGTAAAGATATGAAATGTTTCCAAATTTTTAAATAATTTAATTAACTTTTCATAAAAATAGTCACTAACAAAATATAAGGCAGTATTCAATGAACAAAAATTCTGGTGAGGGAAACAAACATCATTTCACTGTTTAATGCTAGCAAAAGAACACCATGGTTCAGATGGACATAGTTTAATTAAAGATGATAAAGACATGTACATCCCAATTTTCCTGACAACAGCCTTTCCATCCTGATGATGTGTTTATTTTGCTTTCAACATCTGAAATCAAAAAGAACGAAAGTCAAAGCTGCTCTTAAAGTTTCACATCCCCAGGGTCAAGTAGAAATAAGTGTTATAGTTTTCATTTTTCTTTTGTTCCCTCTCCCCAGAGACAAAGTCCCTAGCTCCCTATATTAGCAACCCCTTCACTGATTAACAAAAGATGGTGTATGAATAATCGTTCCTTCTGAGTTCTAACCTCAGATCCCAGGCAAAAAGCTCAACAGTACGACATCACAGCAGGCTGGAAGAAGGCACAGGCTGTCTAATCGTAGGTCCAACCTACCAACGTGATGGTGGTGTCTTCCTTCCAGAGCCTCTTGTTTGCTGCCTGGTTCCCGCATCCATCCTCACATTGTTCTGTATCAGAAAAAATATTCACTGAAAGGTAAAGAAATATGGCAAGAAGGAAGAAAATGCCCAGCTCCTTATTTTTCTCACCTTATTATTTGACCCAACAAATGTTTTATGAATATGACAAATATGAACAAGCCCTTTGTGCAAAGGGTCTCTCCCCACTGTGGTCAGCTAAGACCTCACATTAGCTATCCCTTAACTACACAGTTAACATCCGCACTTTATCTACTGAGTATACTCAGAATATGATCTGTATGTCCCTCTAAAGGGATTTAAAACATGCCATAACTTATGATAAAAATGTGTAAATTTTAAATTTTCAGCTAAATCATATGTGTAACTTACTTATGTAAAATAAATTATAAAAGTATCAAACTCAACACTGTTGAAAATTCAGCTAAATTTTTATGCTTTTTTTCTTTCTTGTTCATACTTTCCAAAGATTCCACAGCCTTATGTCATTAGGGTAAAAAAAAAATGCAAAGCCTTACATTTCTTTCTATGAGAAATATTAGTGTGATAAATGCTCTTCAAAAATATGAGGCAAAGAGGGAAAACAAGTGTTACAGATTTTTAAAAAGTTTTTACACTACACTCACTGATGAGCATAACCTTCAAGTCACCTTCAAAAATGATGATTAAAGTGAAAAGCCTAATACAAAATGAAACATTTTGCTACATGTGAAACTGGATCAATCATTTTTTAAGCCATGGGAACTTCTTTCCTTAATGAGGTGACTGTAATATCTTTGTATTAACTGCTGTGGTCAGACCGAGCAATGCTGTGTGTGACACTGGAGTTACAATTTCAAGTTACAGAGTCTAGACACTCTCTGAATTGAGCTAAAGTAATTGGCCATTATTTTGTTTGTACGCAATGCTTTCCTCCTTCTGTAACTGGCTGGAAGCATAACAATTTCTGAGCTAGTTAAGATACAAGGCAAAACAGACTAATTGTGAAGTTAGACATGTGTTTCCTTGTAAATGCCTCCCTGCAGTCTCATCTCAGTTTCGCAGACCAGAAGAACAGAGCAGCCGCCATCTGCCCATTAACCATTTGCTCTCGTTACAGGAAGTGTTTCCAGTGGGTATGAAACATGAAATTGCCACAGATTTCTATATTTTTTAAATAAAAGTAGAAACTAATAAATAACTAAAGCATAATTACTTCAGGAGTAACAGTCAGCCTTATCTGGTGACATGTTTCTCATAGTCCGACCTGGAGATTGGTAATACTTCACAAAAGGGCAGGGCATTTCCTTTCTCTTTTCTTTTATTTGTTCATCTGAAACCAGAAAATCCTGTTTTAACAATATTCACAGGCCAGCCCCTCCCTCTGTTATCTGTCTCTCCCAACAGCTGGAGACTTGGGAGATAACCAATCCATCACTCAGCAAACTAGAACAGCCTTCCCACACACAACCTGCAATACCGCAGTTTGACATTCATGGACCAAAAGTAACTCCCTAAATTAACCTCTGCTACTCTAAAATTCAAGGAGCCCAAGAGATCTTATAAAAATAAAATTTAAAAATAAAAACCTCTAGAAACCCAGGCCTTTTCTGATTCCTTACTGCTTGACATGCTCTCACCATTTAACAAAACCAGGACTAGAGAAAACATGCGTGAAAAAAATAAGGCCAGGTCTCTACTTCTCACAGACAGTGGTTTCTCCTCAGCCACAGTATTGCACATGCCATCACTTGTGCCTGTGGCCCCAGCAAACATGGTCATTAAGTCCCGCACACTGCTCTTCACTTTGTCTTGTGGTATTCTAAACTTTTTCACCATGTATTTCCCCAAAAGACATTTTAACAGCAGTGCACCAGGCAGCAGGAAGTCAGAGTAGACTCTTTGTTTAAACAAACATGCTTAAAAACCTGGCAAATCTATTCCAAATTTAAATCTAAATGAGGAAATGTTTTACATTTTTAATGGAGAAAAATATCTGGTTTTATTCAAGGTTGTGGTGAATCTGATTGGCAACTTTTAAATTAATTTTAAATTAATTCAGATGCTTTTCAGTCGTCACCGTTACCCACAGGGAGTGCAGAAGAGAAAGATTCTAAGGCAATTGTTTGTGCTCAAACTTAGAAATTATATTCCGCAGGACTTTTTGTCTCAGCAGATTTCAAGTTCCCCTCCCAAGGAACATTTGACCTTCAAATTTCAAGCTGTGTATCTCTTGATTTCGTGCATCCATAATATGTGAGAAAACTCAAATTGGCTACAAATATATTATTTCTGTTACTTGACTTTAATGAATGTTTAGTGGTTCTCAAAATCCGCAATCTATCTGTTCATGGTGCCAACCCTGCATTGCAGAGAAATCTTAGCGTGGGTTTCCAGCTTGGCTCCTGCAAACAAAGTCACTACAAACAGGTTTTAATTTGATCAGGGAAAAGTGGAGGTAGGAAACCCCCACACCGCCAACCTGACAGGCAATGCGGGCGCGAGCCCCCAGGAAGGCAGAGTCCCTAGGTTTGCCGGTCTGGGCGCTGTCCTTGGTGCTGACAGCGCCACCGCGATCTGCAGAGCCTTACCTTCCGCCCCCGTGGAAGCTGCGGATGTTCCCCAAACAATAAGCAAAACATAGGTATTAATACAAATAACTACCCCGGCCCATCCATCCTCTTTGTCCCCTTCCCGAAGACTTCAGGCCGGTTGCTTCTCGGAGTCTTTTTGTTTTTTTCTTCTAGTCCCAACTCTCTCATCTTGGTCTGCTTTAAGAGGAAGAGTGGGGGAGGGGGAGGGAGGCAAGGGGAGATGAAGATGGGGGAGGAAGGACGGTGGGGGAGGGGAGAAAGGAGACAGGAAGAAGAAACAGATGGCAAAAAAAAAGGTCAGGAGGCAGGGGCTCAGAGAAAAGCATCGAGAGTGGGACTAAAGAGGGTTTAAAGTGGGAGGGCGAAGAGATGCCACAAAGAGGGAAAAGTGATTAAGCATAGAAAATGGGGAAAGAAAAAGTAATGGAGAAAAGACAACAGAAGAGAAAGTCGTGGGATAAGAGTGCAGAGGGCTAAGAAAAAGCAAGGTGGCCAGGGGGTGTGGAGAAAAGCTGCCGGAACAGTGGAAGAGTGAAAAGACAAAGAAAGGGCGTTGTGTGAACACTGTCACCGAGGGTGAAACACGCAATCCGAAGGTGAAGAGAAACGGATAGGGGGGTTCGAGGGGAACAAGCGGTCTAGGACTGAAGGAGAACTGGGGGCAGGGCCAGGCACAAGGCTGCCGAGGCCGGGGTCCGATGCGGCGTGGGCCCACGTGGAGCAGGCGCTGAATCACTGCTGGGCTGTCTTTACACCCTCCCCCCACCCCCACCCATCCCCGGTCCGGAGCCCGCAGTCCCCGCCTCCTCGGCCGCCGCCTCCACGGGGCGGGGCCCTAGCCCGGGACCCGCAGCCGCGGCTATAAATGGGCAGCGGCGAGACCAGCAGAACGCTGTGACAGCCACACACCCCAAGGCCTCCAAGATGAGCTACACTTTGGACTCGCTGGGCAACCCGTCCGCCTACCGGCGGGTGACCGAGACCCGCTCCAGCTTCAGCCGCGTTAGCGGCTCGCCGTCCAGCGGCTTCCGCTCACAGTCGTGGTCCCGCGGCTCGCCCAGCACCGTGTCCTCCTCCTACAAGCGCAGTGCGCTTGGCCCGCGTCTCACCTACAGCTCGGCCATGCTCAGCTCCGCGGAGAGCAGCCTTGACTTCAGCCAATCCTCGTCCCTGCTCAACGGCGTCTCCGCAGCAGGAGGCGACTACAAGCTGTCCCGCTCCAACGAGAAGGAGCAGCTGCAGGGACTGAACGACCGCTTCGCGGGCTACATCGAGAAGGTGCACTACCTGGAGCAGCAGAACAAGGAAATAGAGGCAGAGATACAGGCGCTGCGGCAGAAGCAGGCCTCGCACGCCCAGCTGGGCGACGCTTACGACCAGGAGATCCGTGAGCTGCGCGCCACACTCGAGATGGTGAATCACGAGAAGGCTCAGGTACAGCTGGACTCAGACCACCTGGAGGAAGACATCCACCGGCTCAAGGAGCGCTTCGAGGAGGAGGCACGGCTGCGCGACGACACCGAGGCGGCCATCCGAGCGCTGCGCAAAGACATTGAGGAGGCGTCGCTGGTGAAGGTGGAGCTGGACAAGAAGGTGCAGTCGCTGCAGGATGAAGTGGCCTTCCTACGGAGCAATCACGAGGAAGAGGTGGCCGACCTGCTGGCCCAGATCCAGGCGTCGCACATCACAGTGGAGCGCAAAGACTACCTGAAGACAGACATCTCGTCGGCCCTGAAAGAGATCCGCTCCCAGCTCGAGAGCCACTCAGACCAGAACATGCATCAGGCAGAAGAGTGGTTTAAGTGCCGCTACGCCAAGCTCACCGAGGCAGCCGAGCAGAACAAGGAGGCCATCCGCTCCGCCAAGGAAGAGATTGCCGAGTACCGGCGCCAGCTGCAGTCCAAGAGCATCGAGCTCGAGTCTGTGCGCGGCACCAAGGAGTCCCTGGAGCGACAGCTCAGCGACATCGAGGAGCGCCACAACCACGACCTCAGCAGCTACCAGGTAGGAACCGCGGCTGCGCCGCCAGCCCTGCGCCAGCGCCAGCGCCGCGCGCCCCCGACACTAAGGCACGCGCCCCTGCGCGCTCTCCATCGCGCTCTCTGTTCGCTGCTGACCAGTGCGCGCGAGCGCAACGCACACCCAGGTTAGAGGCGCAATGCGTGTTCGCCTCTACCCGTCACTTCCACACTCTTCCCCTGCCCGCTATCGCCAGCTTCTAAAAACCCTGACCTTTTTTCCAAACGTTCTTTTTGTCCTCGGGAGTTCTAGTTTTTGCACGCTTGCATATTTAAAGTAGGAGGTATACAATACATTTGGGTAGTTGATAAAGTAGCAACTTTAAGATAGCTTCTGCGGAAACGCATGTATTCTCTCCTTTTCCAGCTGTAATCAGAACTCTCAATACTAGCTTCAGCCCGAAGAGCTCCGATGGGAAGGGCCAGGTCAGGCGTTGGTTGTTCCCATGCATCTTTTTTTTCCTCTCTAGAATTATTCTTAATCCCCTGGGCTTAGTGAGTGAGGTGCCCAGGAAATCTTATATTGGTCCTATTTGTTTGTTTCTTTGAGAATCACTTAGATTTTGTTAACGGGAGAAGGGGATCTGGGAACAATATCCCAGAGGGTTGCGGAGCTAGGAGTCGCAGAGGGGAGGTGGGGAGGGGTAGCAAGTGGTTTGCGAAAGAAGTTGCGGTTTGGAAGGTGAGTCGATGGAGACGTTCTGCGTTTGTTTCAGGACACCATCCAACAGTTGGAAAATGAACTTCGAGGCACGAAGTGGGAAATGGCCCGTCATTTGCGAGAATACCAGGATCTCCTCAACGTCAAGATGGCTCTGGATATTGAGATCGCTGCGTACAGGTAGGGTGTTCACTGCGGACGTGACGGAAATACCGCACTGCGGAGGCTGACTTGAAAGAACCTTCATCATTTCAGTAAAGCAAGCAGGTTTCAGAAGTCTTAAATCAGTGCCTGTTTTCCCTTCCTAATTAAAAAGAAATTATTCTAAAGAATTGCATCAGTTGAAATTGTTTTCCATTACGTGGGGGAAAGGGGCACAGATTAATTTCAGTGCTATGCTTAAGTTTTTATTTTACTCAAAAATGTTTTCCAAATGTTTGAAGCAAAAACGGAGCGTTAGTATTTAATATTTCATCTAGTGGTTTCAGCTTTTCAATGTTAAACAATGTCAAGGACAAACACCAAGACGTTCCATTTCTCTGTTTCTCTGTCACAGCTTACTATTGCCATCATCTGGCTGAGAATAGATATAGATCAATATATTAGAACATATATTTATTCTTATAGCTGTATAGATAATTTAGATGTATTCTATTGTAGACTGCATAATACAGATTATACGTCTCGATATATAGGTCATATATGATATATATCTATATACATCTAGATCTAGAGATGTAAATATATAAATATAAATCCTAATGTAAATAGACTTACATCTATAGATATAGCTATACACCAGAGACAGAGAGAGGAGATTACAGGTGTACTAACTGATGTTATCTTGCTGTTGACCAAGTTCACAGGAGGAAATCATTGACTAAACAGTTTTTCTACTACCAATAAGATCATTATAATAGTATAAGAATAAAGTGAACTCACAGAGTTAGCTTTCTTTTCAGGAAAGCTGAGTAACTATATTGAAAAACACTTTATGATTAAATTTGCAGATCAGTTTATAACTTGATACACCCATATTAGCACCTAGCTAT